TATTATTATTTTTCTATCTATATAAAATAATTTTTGGTAGTTTGGTACAGCACTGAATAAGTAAATTGATTTAGGTAGAATTATCATTTTTATTATATTAGCTCAGCCTATCCATAAGCAATTAACATATTTTAATTGTTTAGATCTGACTTCATTTGTGTGAAAAGTGTTTTATAATTTGTGTTCATATAGTTCCTGAGTTTCTCTTGGCAGTAGACTCCCAAATGTTTAATATTGTCTACAGTTATTTTAAATGAAATTTCTCTTTCAATCTCTGGCTGCTAGGCTTTATGGGTAATACATAGAAGTGCTTATGCTTTATGTGGGTTTATTTTATTTCCTGCAAGTTTGCTTAAGTTGTTAATTATTTCAAGTAGCTTTTTAGTTGATTCTCTAGGATTATCTAAGTGTACCATCATATCATCTGAAAAGAGTGATAGTTTTGTTTCCTCGTTGCCTGTTCTAATTTCTTCAACTTCTTTTCCTTTTCTTATAGCTAAATATGACATTTCTAGTACAATATTCAATAATAGTGATAATGGGCATCCTTGTTTCAACTCTGATCTTATTGGGAACACTTCTAGCTTATACCCATTACATATGATGCTTGCTGATGATTTTAGATAGATACCGCATATCATTTTAAAGAAAATACTATTTATTCCTATGATCTCTAGTGTTTTTCATAGGAATGAGTATCATATTTTGTTAAAAGCTTTTTCTGCATCTACTGAGACAATCATATGATTTCTGTTGGTTTTATTATTGATATGGTCAATTTTGCTGATAGTTTTCCTAATACTGAATCAGGCCTGCATTCCTGGTATAAATCCCACCTGATTATAATATGTTATCCTTGTTGTAAATTACTGTAACCTATTTGCTAATATTTTATTTAAACACTTTGCGTCAATATCCATTAGGGAAGTTGGTTTATAAATTTATTTCTCTGTTTAGGATCTTCCTGGTTTAGGTATTAGCACCATATTTGTGTCATAAGATGAATTTGGCAGGACACTTTCTTCACCTATTTTTCCAAATAGTTTACATAATATTGAAATTAGTTGTTCTTTAAATGTCAGATGTAATTCACTTGTAAATGAATTTGGCCTTGGATTTTTTTTCTTAGGGTGTTCCTTGATGGCTCCTTTAATTTCTTTTTCTAAAATGAAGCTATTTAAGTATTTTATTTTCTCTTTTGTTAACTAACACAATTTGTATTTTTGTAGATATTCATCCATTTAACTCAGATTTTCAGATTTCTTGGCGTACAGTTGGGCAAAATAATTTATAATAATTGCTTTAATTTCCTCTTCATTGGTGGTGAATTCATCCTTTCCATTTTTGACCCTGGTATTTTGCTTTTCTTTCTCTCTTTTAAGTAAGTTAACAAAAGGTTTATCTATTTTATTGGTTTTTTTTCCATAAAACTTGCTCTTAGTTTTATTTATTTGTTCAATAGTTTTCTTAATTTGAAATTTATTAATCTCTCCTTTGATTTTCAGAATTTCTAACTTGGTATTCAATTGGTGATTTTAATTTGTTCTTTTCCTGGGTTTTTTTATCTCTTAGTTCTTTTTTTTTTTAATATCATCACATGAAAGTCAACTTATACCCATACCTTCTCTGTGTGTGGAGTATATATATACTTGTAACTGCCCTAATAAAGATACAGTTCTCAAGAGTTACATTTATCATCTTCCTGTGTGGGGATGTAAGCCATTTCATCTCATTTGATAACATGCTTTTCCCCCCTCCCCCCGTTTACCTTTTTATCCTTCTCTTGAGTTTTATATTTGAAGATTGAATTTCCTGTTCAGCCCTGGTATCTCCATCAGGAAAGTTTGATAGTCCCGTATTTCATTGGAATCTTTTCCCCAAGAAAGATTACACTCAGTTTTGCTGGGTAGTTGATTCTTGATGTAATCCAAGCTTCTTTGCCTTTAAGAATATTGAATTCCAAGCCCTCTGATCATTTAAGGTAGATGCTGCTAAGTTCCGTGTAATTCTGAGTGTGACTCCATGATACTTGAATTGTTTCTTTCTAGCTCTGTGCAGTATTTTCTCCTTTGCTATAATATTCCTTGGAGTTCTAATTTTGGGATCTCTTTCTGGAGGTGATTGGTAGATTTTTCCATGATAATTTTATCCTTTTTTTTTTGACCATCGTTTTCAGGTAGTCCAATCATTCTTAAATTTTTTCTCCTGGATCTATTTTTCAGGTCAGTTTTTTCTCCCCAATGAGTTATTTTATATTTTCTTCTATTTTTTTCAACGTTTTCATTTTGTTGGACTGATTCTTCATGTCTCAAAGAATCATTAGCTTCTGCTTGCCCAATTCTAATTTTTAAGGAATTATTCTCTTTAGTAGGCTTTTGTACCTCCTTTCCCACTTGGCCAATTCTGCTTTTAAAGGAGTTGTTTACTTCAATGGAATTCCTCCCCCACCCCAATTTGGCTAATTGTATTTCTTAAGGAGTCTTTTTTTTCAGTCAATTTTTGTGCTTTCTTTTCCAAGTTGTTTACTCTTTTTTTCATAATTCTCTATAACTCTCATTTCTTTTCTGAATTTTTCTTCTACCTCACTTAATTTTTAAAATCCTTTTTGAGCTTTTCCAAGAAGACTTTTTGGGCTTGAGATCAATTCATATTCCCCTTTGAGGCTTCACATGTAGGCATTTTGACATGATTGTCCTTCTGAGTTTTTGTTTTGATCTTCCCTGTCACCATAGTAGCTGTCTTTGGTCAAGGCTCTTTTTTGTGTTTTGTTCATTTTTAAAAGTTGAGCTCTGATCCTGGGGCACTGGGGTAACTGTCCCAAGTTTCTTGTGCTGAAAGCCAGGGGCCTTCTCACTGGATTTCCATGCTATATCCTCAGGTACTGGTGTCTTGCTAACTGTGCTAGGGTGGCCTGAACTAGTCACATCTAGTGTGCCAGGGCTCTGAGGCTGGCAGTTTGCCTTCTGTACTTGGGCTGGAGGACTCACAGCTGGCCTGCTGTGTCACCAGCCTGTTGAGTCAGGACAGAGCAACCTAGGTTACTGATCTGTGCTGTGCCTAAGAGCCTCCTACTGGCTTGCCCAGATGCCATCTATGCTGGCTTCATTCCCTTTTTGCCCAAGTAAGACAGACCTTTCTTGAAGTCCTTATAAGTTATCTTATGCTGGAAAGTTGTATTACTCCATCTTTTTGTGAGTTCTGTTGCTCCATAATCTGTTTAGAGGTTTGATTTAATGTTGTTTTCAAAGAAAACTGGGGAGAGCTCGGGCAACTTCCTGGCTTCTCATTACCATCTTCCTGACTTAGTTTTAAAAATGAAATATTACCTATGTTTTATTATATTTCTATTTATTTTGTTAACTTATTTGTCAATTACATTTTAATCTGTGTACTTCCACTATCAGTCCACTTTATCAAATGCTTTGCTAAAATACCAATAAATTATAACTCTGGTGCTCTTCCTTTTAACCACTTTAACTTGTCAAAAACTGTTAAAAATAAAATAAAATTATTCTGCCTTGATTTGTTTTTGATGAAGTCATGTGGGATCTTCATAACCTCTGCTTCCATTTTGAGAGGTTTACTAACCAAATCTCATAGCATATTCTAGAATTTTGATAAGATTTGATGTCATAATCATATAATCATAGCTTATAGAGTGCATTCTTTTCTCTTTTATGAAAATTAAGGCATTTGTTCTCCAATTTGGTAATATGTCTCCCTGTTTCCACAGGTTCTAAAATGTCACTAAGGATAATACTCTAATCAAATGCAACCATTTGTTTAGTATCCAAGGATATAATTCTTCCTAACCTAGTGACTCAAATTTATTAATAAAATTGCTTAGATGTAAAATTGGTTGAATTTTTGCCAAAATGTGTGGTGTATCAGGTATAAGATTTTTTGGGCTAGGAAGAAGTGATAAATATAAATTTTATTGGCAACAAAGAAGTATGCATCACCTTTTTTTGTAAGCTGTCCCCTTTACCTGGCATTCACTCCTTTGCTTCCATTTCTCAGGATTCCATGTTCTATGCCCAGTATTACCAGCCTCTTGTGTGTAGTACAGTGAAAAAGGCCTTGAATAAGGATTAGGAGGAGCTGAGTCCCAATCACACAACTGATACTCAACACTTATTACAGTGCCTGGCACATAGTAGGTGCTTAATAAATGTCTGATGACTAGCACTGGCTATGTGACCTTATAATGCTCTACAAAATGAGGGGTTTGGATTGTATAGCCCCTGAGGTTCCAACTAGCTTTAGATCTATAATCCTAGTATTATTTTCTGTATTGTTTTTATGTCCTCAGTGTCTAGTACAGGGGTGGGGAACTTCTAGCTTTGAGGCCACATGTGGCCCTTTAGGTCTTCAAGTGCAGTCCTTTGACTGAATCCAATCTTCACAGAATAAACATTTTTAATAAAAGGATTTGTTCTGTAAAACTTCAACTTAGTCAAAAGGCCACACCCAAGGACCTTGAAAGCCACACATTCCCCACCATTGGACTGGTACATAGCCTTAAACATAGTAGGTTATTAATAAATGCTTCTTGGGTTTTATAAGATTGACAACTGGTAAGTTTGTATTCTCTGCTAACACAATGACAGATAGACCTTGTGAGGACCTAGGAGTTTAAGTAGATTGCATTCATTTCTTTTGGTGCATTAGGAACAATTAGAATTATAATCTAGGTTCTTATTTGATTCACTAGAAAGCATTTCTTTTGGATAACATTCTCTCTGTGTGTCTGTCTCCCTCCCTCCCTTTGTCTCTCTCTCTCTCTCTCTCTCTCTCTCTTCTCTCTCTCTCTCTCTCTCTCTCTCTCTCTCTCTCTCTCTCTCTCTCTCTCTCTCTCTCTCTATCTGTCTCTCTGTTTCTCTGTGACTCTCTGTCTCTGTTTCTCTGGGGTTTTTTTGTCTCTTTGTGTCTCTGTTGTATTCTTGTCTATTTCTTCACCACCTCCTATTTGTTCTTGGTTGAACCTGTGGCAGGAGCAGCAGTGGCAAGAGCAGTGGTAGCAGCAGCACTGACATGGAACTGGATGACGAGCCTCCTTGCATGGAAGAGATTGATTATAGTACAGACTGCTCCTCAGATGAAGAAACTGACATCCATGAACTTGATCAACAGATTCAAGAGATGGCCTTGGTAGAAGCTGTAGGAGATGAGGAAGAGAAAAATGGCATAGATAACAGGTCACTTAGTACCTCTGAGCTTTATGTTTCCAAACACTGGACAAGAAAAAGCAGAAATTCCCCTCAATCATCAGAGTCAACTGAGGTATCATCAAGGGGAAAAATATAGGTCAATAGTAGCACTGCATGGACAGTAATCAAGTGTTTCCTAGGTGCCACTTTGATTCTAGATGTACTTCCAGTTTAACCATGCAAATAGACACACACACACACACACACACACACACACACACAGGCACACACAGGCACACACACACATACACATAATCACATATACACATATATCAAATTTATCCATTTTTTTCAGAACCCAAAGATGTCATTCTTCTTGACCTAGTGACTTGAACTTGAGATTTTGCTTAGATTCAAAATGAGTTTAGTTTTGCGATTATATATATACATTTATATGTAGATACATATACATACATATATGTTTATACATATACATGCACATATGTATATACATATATGTATGTGTGTATATGTATGTACATATGTATACAGAAACACACGCACATTTGCAGATGGCAGCAAGAAAACTCTGTAAGACCCCAAGCTTCCTGAATGGCAAGGTCATGCTTCACTAGTTGGCTGACCAGAGCATTTCCTTTGTGCAAGACAATCATACATACATACATACATACATACATACATACATACATACATATACACACATACACATACATGCAGTAGTATGTAGTTCTATATAATTTTAAAAGTGACAATGGGGCCTTGGAACTCCTTAAAGAATTTGCTATTCTGGCCTAGAAATTTATTTTTCAGGTAGCCATGAATTTCTTAAATTCTTCCTCAGTCTATATCTAAAGTAGCAGAAGCATGGGGATGTCTAAAAATGAGCTTTTTTTTCTGACTTTATCAACCATAATTCTAAGAAAGTTTGAATGAAGCCCTCAAAACTACCCTGTATTAGATTATTAAGTATTACATACGTTCTGAAGTCTTTTGTTCCTTTTTTCCTTCATAACTTCTGCTATCCACAACAAAGATTATCAGCCACTTAAACACTGCAACACATCTGCTACAGTCTTTGGCCAATGGTTTTGAAGATGCCCCAACTAGAAATGTATTTAATTATTCCTCCCATTTTCCATAGCCCTTCTTTAAAAAAATTGGAAAGTGCAGAATTCCATAGAAAGACTGTAGGTAGGACTATGTCTTCAAACATTGTTCATTGTCCATTTTTGCCTCTTTCTTTTAAGTCATCCTTTTCTCAGAAATGAGTTCCAAAAGGAAACCCAAAAATAGTTAAGGGGCACATTAAAAACAGAAGGAACAGGTTATGCTTGTTATTCTTTCCATCATTGTTACTAATTGACTGAGTGATGGCATTACTTAATTATTTAGCTATCTAGTCTACTATTGATTAGCTACTCAGCCATACAGTGACATAGCATAAGAATCCACTTCAGTCACCAATTAGGAATTCATGGAATGAAAGTTGACACATAGTGCCACACAGCTGGCGATGGACTATGATTTGATTGATCAACAGAACCATTTTGCTGCCAATTATTTCTTTACTAATAACCATATGTAGCTTCCCAAAATTTTCATGTGACTCTTTTATCTTAGGGAGATGGAAGTCTCAGTAAAGTTAAAGGGGCTATGAGGGGTAGAACTAAACTGCCATAATCCATTTAATACCTGAGCCCAATTAATATCTCTTATGTAATTCTAATGACTTAGGGCTCTAGGGAAAGGTATTGAAGGTATACAGGCTTTACAAGGGGAAACAGGTAAAGTGAAGATTGAAATATTGAGAATTGACCTAGAGGTAATATTTGGGGAGCATAGTGAATACAAGGAACCATCTGATAGCATTGGGCAGATGGCAGCAAGAGGACTCTGAGGGAATAGAGTTGGAGATCTCTAACCTCCCAAATGGCAAGGTGACACTTCCCTAGTTAGCTGACTAGACCATTTCCTATTTGGGAAGACAATTCACTAAATTCAGTAACTTAATACAAACAGGTGAATTCCAGATCCTTAGAAATAGCTGTCTAGTGAACTCAGAAAGCTTTTTTCCTAGCCAAACCACTATGGTGAATTGGTCTGGAAGGCATGCTTTGTGGATCTCATAACCAAATGAAATCACTCAAGAACGCCAGGAAGCCTGAGACAGTAATGAGACACAGATGTGGTTTAAAAAAAAATTCAAAGAAAGTTACTAGCTTTGGACAAATTTTTATCAGTGTATGTATAAGGTTCTTATTTCATATTTCTTGTCTCTTGATTGAGTGTTTTAAGTGAAATGAATAACATTTCCCTCAAAATTAGTATGTTTTATGATGTAGAACGATTGTCCAGAAGGCAGGTTATATCTTAGTCTCAAGATTGGGGGTACTACTTAATGGTGTGCTGGTAAATGTTTAACAACCAGCTCTCTAGGGGGAGGAAAAACATGTGCATGATGCACTTTAAGTTTAATCTGATTTTTAAAATTTTTCTTCATCACTTTTCAAAGTCTAGACTATCAATATAACAAGAAGTCTGGCCATGATTTGTAGTATTTTCTAATTTCTGAGCCGTAAGTACTCCTTCTGAAAATTCAACAATCTGCTCTCATGACCAACTTAAAATCTGCTCAAGCATATTCCTGGCTCTACCTTTATATACTGCTTGCCCTATTCCTCACATTCAGATCAGCTAGTCAATGAGAAAATAGAGAACCATGAATCCTGTGAGGTTCTGCTTCTTCCAAAGGCTGGACTGGTGGTCTTGATTCCTAGACCCTAGAATCACAGTATTTCCCTGGAATCTCAAGACCCTGTTTAGCAATCTTCTTGTTTCTAATTCTAGAATTTGTAGTGAAGAAAATTGTTTTGAGTTCACTCAATAGGTAACTGGAACAAGTGCAACTGTAGTTTCTCATACTAACCATTAACTCCCAGTTTGTTGTGGGTTTAATAGGCAAATAGAATGGCCTTACATTTTCTGAGTTGTGGAAATGGTGAAATAAATTAAGAAAAATAAAGAAAACAGTCTGTAGACTTTATAGAAAGTGATTGTATCATTTTCCAGTTGAAAGTGAATTCTAGTTCATTTTATTTTTGGCATCATTTTCATGTAAAAAAGTTTTATTAATGCCCCTTGTTTTATGCCATGATCACTTTCCAAAATTCCTCAAAACTACTATATCTTCAACAGTGACACCAAGAAAAATATCACCATCACCACAGAAATGTTCACTTTCACACGGTACAGATGAATGTTTTTTTTTTTTTAAATAATGATGGTAACTTTGGTAGTCCTCCACTTCTCTAAGTCCTATAGTTGAGGATAAGGATTCCCTCTTCTCACCATATGCCATTGTGCTTTTAGGGGGAAAAAAGTTTTGGGATCACAAAAGAGATCTCAAAATAACCAGCTTACTAAATTAAAGATTTTAGGACAGATTGCCACATCTATTATATCAGATCACTTTCTGGGGTGGAGGTAGATTTTACCATATATAGTTTCCATTTTATCATTTAAAAACTGGAAAGCTCAGAAGAGCCGCTGTCCATTGTAGGGAGATTATCCTGCCCCATGAAACAAGCACTATTCCTTCTTATACTTTTGTTGTACTGAGAAATCAGCGAGCGAGACCCAGACGTAATTTAAGATGTGGATTTATTAGTGCGCGGCTGCCAGAGGTATGCACATCCAAATCAAGCAGCCCCGATCAGGGGTCGAGCTAGGGTTTATATGGAAAAGAGCATGGGAAAGAAATGCCAGGAACACTGATGAGGTAATCCAAAGGTGCAGGTGTGTTTGGGGGCTATGCCTGGGAAAGCACAGGGAGTATACTGGACAGGGAGGGGGATGGATCTTTGGAGTCTGGCAGGAGGAAGAGTCCTTGGGCTGGTCAAGGACACCCCTCTCCCTCTGTCTTGATGAGAGAATGCTCTGCAACAAGGGAAAGCTGTCTCACAACACAGGAACTTACTGAGGAATTGGGAGGCTTCCAGAGACATGATCTGAGGGCTGGGGCCTGAGCAGCCCAGCTCTGTGTAGCTGTACCAGGGAGAGAGATAAGGGTCATGCTGAGGCCCATGCATGAATAACTGCTAGGCACAGTGTCCTTGGGCTGGGGAATGGTTGTTAGAGACAGTGTTTCTGAGACTAGGGGGAAATCGGGGCACAAGCACAAGCACCCAAGCACCCCATTATTACGGGTAAGAGATCACACAAATCAGACCAGGTGTCCTGGTCTCTGGTATAAACATAATTATCTAAAGCAATTATATTGCAAGCTTTCTTATCCATTTGTGTTGGAGGTACGGGCTATGCTGAGCTATGCAAGATTACATTTCACTATTGTTTAGATTTAGGAGGAAAGAGGTCTGGGGCAAGATTAAGCACCAACTTTTGCTTTCCATGGCTTAAAGGTCCCTACTACCTAAATGGCAAAATAATGTTCTGCATTATACTTTGATGACAAAAAGATATGCTGTATGGCAGAGAAAAATGCTTGAATTCAGGGTAGAAGGCAGACTCTCTGGGTCATGAGAAGAGTGATCCTAGTTTTGTGAAAGCTCAACAGCATACTCCAATGCTCTTTCTCTCACCTGACTGCTGGCACTGCTACAAAGAGACAAATGGACAATAACCCAGTGCTCAGCACAATAGCTTTTTGGACTGAGCTAATTCATTAGCTATGAAGAAAATTATCTTTTATAGAAATTTCCTATTTTTTTTTACTTTATAGTTTTGCTGGATGCACATATCACTCATTTCTGAGAAAAAGATGACTTAAAAGAAAGAGGCAAAAATGGAAAAGTTTAGAGATAAAAATGGATTGCATTAGAGACTTTCAAAGGGAAATGATAAATAGATATCATTGTAGGTAACTTAAAATCATTCAAAATACACTGTGATAAAAGATAGTTGAAATTGAGTATGCTGTAATCACTCTTACCTCATCCCTCTGTCTTCCTCTGAAAGAGGCCCAACACTTGAAGTAAAAGAATAATAAAGAGAATAAGCATAGAGTTAAGAAATGGATGTCATCCTGTGATGTCCTGCATCATGTCCCTACTAAGTAGACTCTAAAGCAGGTAGAAAGAAGCCAGGGAATAGGCCATCAGAGCTTAAGGGTGAGGCCTT